CGCAGATCGGCGGGGTCAGGGTGCAAAAACACATGGGATTTGCAACATTTCTGACATTCGGTGGCACCCCTCACGCAGATCGGCGGGGTCAGGGTGCAACAACAAAACGGATTTGCAACATGTCTGACATTCGGTGGCACCCCTCACGCAGATCGGCGGGGCCAGGGTGCAACAACACACGGGATTTGCCACATTTCTGATATTCGGTGGCACCCCTCACGCAGATCGGCGGGGTCAGGGTGCAAAAACACATGGGATTTGCAACATTTCTGGGATTCGGTGGCACCCCTCACGCGGATCGGCGGGGTCAGGGTGCAACAACACACGGGATTTGCTACTTTTCTGAAATGCGTTGGCACCCCTCATGCAGATCGGCAGGGGCAGGGTGCAAAAACACCTGGGATTTGCAACATTTCTGAAATTCTGTGGCATCCCTCATGCAGATCCGTAGGGTCCCAAAACGCAGGGGATTTGCCACATTTCTGAAATTCATACAACAGCGAGTGCATCAATAGACTCGCATTCCCCATTCGTCTTGCCAATTACCCATCGTCTTCGCATGAAGTTCCGACGCTGCCTCACGGTGAAGCCAAAGCCTCATGACTTCGCTCTTCCGTGGCCCTTTCTCCGAGAGAGGGAGCCGGCGGCAGGGGGCGAAGCCCTTGCGGATAATCAGTTCTCCCTTTTGGTGGGACCCCCCTCCTGCAATACGGCCGCCGACAAAAACAACTAGTTCCCCCCTATTCGGGGGAAATCTGAACGCTGCAACAATGAAGGGGCCCTGTGACACACAAATAAATCCACGCAGATAAAAGGATTCTCCATATTTTCCCATAGTTTCTGGGTTTTTGTCTTCCCCCCCACTTCCCATATTTTCCAACAGTTTCTGGGGGATCGACGATTACTTGTGTCTGTGCGTTTTTTCCCTCCTGAAACAACCTGAAACGCGATTCGGACTGTTTCATCCCCGCGGGGGAAGGTTGCGACAATTCTGTGGCCGCCCACTGCGCCCAGCGGCCGGCCTCGACGCTTCCCGAGGCACGCCTCCGCTCTTCGGTGCGCCGGGGGGGGCCAGGTCGGGCAGCTCTTTTAGGGGGCCACATGCGAACCCTACCCCTGCCCCCCTCAGAAATCGTGGGGGGTTGGGGGGTAGGGTTCGCATGTGGCCCCCTATCTGACTACCTACCAGACCACCCCAACCCAACCCGAAGACCCCAATTTCGGGTGGGGGGGGGGGGTACGGGTTCCATACGTGTTTTTTCAATGTTCCCCGACCCCCCCCAACTGGAAATGGAGGGCAAATTGAGGCCTTCGGGTTGGATTGGGGTGGTTTGGTGGGTGGTGACTATCTCTTGGTGTGCCCCGACGCCAGCCGGCGCAGCCTTTTGAATTACTAGCGGAAGGCCCGGAGCGGAGCGGAGCGGGGCGGCGTCGACGTCGCCCAGAGGGCGTCCCGTTGTAAGGAGCGGCGGGGGCGCCAGGGCGCCTCGGGTCTGAACTCGGAACTCGGCCGAAGTCGGAGTGTACACCCTGCGAAATGCTTAAGAAATCATGGGTTAAGAAATTCATAGTCTCAGAACTTGAATAAAGCCGAACTTCTATTCAAATCATAGGATGTACATTGAAACATTAAGAATAATCGAGACTCTGGCCGAAAACTCAAGTTTTCTTAAGCATCGCCTAGGGTGTAGGGAGCTGGAGTCGGAAACTTGGACGCTGGAGTCGGACGGCCGGGGTGGATTCGGAACATCGGCAGCCAGAGCCGAAAAACTGGGAGCCGGAATCGGAGGGGCGGGCGTCGGAGTCGGAGATTTGGGAGCTCAACTCGGAGATATAAGAGCTGGTTGAGAAGTGGGAGCCGGAGATATAGGAGCTGAAGGCCCGAGAAACAACTTCTGAGCAGTTTCTTAAGGTGAAGGGCTCAGGGTGAAATCCATATGGGCTTCTGCACCTCGAAAATCAATCCGTCGTGTGATTCACCTTTTGTATATTCAAGCCTCGAAAATCCGTCGAAACGGCATTTCACATTTCACCTTTTGCCATCCTTTACCCTCCACCCTAACAGAATGCTCGGAACTTCTAGTTGGACCTAGGCCGGAAGAACATACCACAATAACACGAGACCCTCTGACGGGTACCCTCCCCCAGGATGCACAAGTCCATCCAACAAGCACGAAGAACACTGGGGTACCCTCTCCGAACCGACCTCGATGCTATACCTCGGTCCGACTGTAGGAGACAGCCCTGGCGCTTGCAGCTTGCACGTGCAAGTGTAGTCATCAATCAAGCCAATGCTGTTACGTTCGAACTCTATCGTGTCACTTGCAGCTAAGAATTCAGCTGCAGAGAAACTCTGAGGCAAGTCCTTTCCTACAGGGCCTCTGACTGGAGAAGCAACGGAGAAGGAAAACGGAGAGGAGGAGGAGGAGGAGGAGGAGGAGGAGGAGGAGGAGGAGGAGGAGATGGGAAGAGGAGGAAGACGACGACGACGACGAGGAGGAGGAGGAGATGATGCTGCTGCTGCTGATGATGATGATGAGGAGGAGCGAGGAGCAGGAGGAGGAGGAGGAGGAGCAAGAGGACTTTCCCCAGACACCGGGCTCGCTGGCGACGGCAACGTCTGGCTGAAGGGCTCGTAGGCCGGGGAAGCCTCGCGGTCCTCCGGGTCCACCTTCGGGCGGGGAGGGAATGTGCGACATTTGCTTGCGGTCGTTCCTTTCCCGCGACCCCTAGACCCCAACCCCGCGCATCCCAGGCACCCCAAGCAATGCCCACAACCCCAAGACCTGCCGCAGCTCCCCAAACTTCCGCAAACACAAACCCAAGGGTTGTGGGGATCGCGTCGAATGTGGAAGTTGCGGGGTTTGTGGGGGTTATGGGGATTGGTGGGGATGGTGGGGATTATGGAGGCTGTACGGGTTGCGAAAGATGTGGGTATGCGTGGTTTGGGGAGCGGAGGCGTGGGAGGGCGAGAGCGTGTCCATGCCACATCCGCAGCACCCTCCTCCTCCTCCTCCTCCTCCTCCTCCTCCTCCTCCTCCTCCTCCTCCTCCACCGCCTCCGCCACCTCCTCATGCTCCCACCACCTCCCCTTCCCCACCCTCCCCCCTCTCCTCTCCCCCTTCCCCTCTCCCTCCCCCGCCCCTCTTCCTCCTTCCTCCTCCTCCTCCCTCTCCTCCTCCTCTCCTCCTCCTCCCCTCCTCCTCCTCCTCCTCCTTCTCCTCCTCCTCCTCCTCCTCCTCCTGCTCCTCCTCCTCCTCCTGCTCCTCCTGCTCCTGCTCCTGCTGGTCCTCCTCCTGCTCCTCCTGCTCCTCCTGCTCCTCCTGCTCCTCCTGCTCCTCCTGCTCCTGCTCCTGCTCCTGCTCCTGCTCCTCCTCCTCCTCCTCCCCCTCCATTATTTTCCTTATCTATAACTTCCCCCTGTCGCACCCCGAGGCAAGTTTTTAGGGCGGGCTAGGCGTTTCGGCTGAGACTTCCTCAGAATCGATGACCCTGAAACTTAAACAATGGAATCCGTTTCACCAATGGCGGGCGGGTCGTTTTCAAAATGGGGCTCTCGCCTTAGCGCCGCGCACATTCGTTTTAAACATTTGCAAGAGTTTCACGGATTGAGGGCTGGTGGTTTTCAAACTGTGACTCTCGCCTTGGCGCCGCGCACATTCGGTTTAAGCATTTGCAAGAGCTTCACGGACTGAGGGCGGTTCCTTTTCAACATGTGGCTCTCGCCTTAGCACCGCCCACATTCGTTAACCAAGAGCTTCATGTATTGAGGGCGGTTCCGTTTCAACATGTGGCTCTCGCGTTAGCGCCGCACTCATTCGATTGTGTTGTTTATTATTGCAATATGTTTCACGGATTCCCGCGATCAGCTTACCAGAAACGGTGTTTTGGAAAGGTTCAGGAGGAGGAGGGTGCAACAGTTACGTCGATTCGTTGTGTTGAAGTCTCAAGTACGGTGTTCTGGCACGATCCACGATCGCCAATACGCAACGCTCAGGTCGATCCGTGGCGATATAATCCCGAAGACAAGGTTTTGGCATGCTTCAGGGTCTTCAAATGCTTGTCTTCCAACGAGGCAGTTCCCTCAATGGAAACGAATCGGTTGTAGAGGCCTATGAAGAGGGCCTCCTCCTCTTCCTCCTCCTCATCCTCCTCCTCCTTCTCTTGGTCCTTCTCCTCCTCCTCCTCCTGCTCCTGCTCCTGCTCCCCCTCTTCCTCCTCCTCCTCCTGCTCCCCCCCTCCTCCTCCTCCTCCTTCTCCTCCTCCTCCTCCTCCTCCTCCTCCTCCTCCTCCTCCTCCTCCATCTCCTCCTCCTCTCCCTCCCCCGCCCCGGTTTTCGCTTGGGTTTTGTTTTTAAAATTTTGCTCTCGCTGAAGCGCTGGCTTCGTTTCCGAATCGTGCTCCCGCTGCAGCGCTGGCCTCGTTTCCGCTCTTCCGCTCGTTCCGAATCGTGATCTCGCTGCAGCGCTGGCGTCATATTTCCAGCGCCATGCCACAGCATGGTTTTCGGTCCTTCCAAATAGGCCCCAAAATCTAAACAATGCCCCCCGACAAAAAACATCGGAAGTGATTGCACATCTGGTGCCGATTCGTTGATTTTGTGGGCCGCAGAAGCCCCCTTTCCCTTGGGGGCGTCGCCACGTATTGCTATGTCATGCTACGCATTGATCTTCATCACTATGCTATGCCATGTAATGCCATGCCATGTTGCGACATCTGATTTTGCGAATAGAGAGGAGATCTACGCCATGGTAAGGGATGGGAGAGAGGGGTAGGACGTCAGACATGACGCGAGCGCAACCAGCTTGCCCCTCCCCCCTCCCCCTCCCCCTCCCCCTCCCCCTCCCTCCTCATCCCTCCTCCTCCCTCCGCCTCCTCCTCCTCGTCCTCCTCGCCCATGGCTGTTTTTGACTGGGCTCACGTCCGCGGGAGTGTAGATCTGACTGACGGGCGAGGCGGCGTGGCTGGCCGGGCTGAGGAGCTCGCTGCCCGGGGTGTACCTGGCAGGCTGCCAGGCACGACGACGACGAGCCTTGCCCCCTCCCAGGCTACCTCTCCGCCACCCCACTCTCCCTCCCACAGCCGTCCCACCGATCCGATCCCTGCCTTCTTCCCCGCGAGTCCACACACCCCACACTGGTGCCCGCCGTGCACCCCTCTCTCCCAATCGCTCCTCCTTCCCTCCTCCCTCCTTCTCTTCCCTGCCTGCCACCCACTCCCCACCCTGCCCTACCCCACACCCCTCTTTCCTTTACATCCCCCGCACTCCGCCCGCCCTCTTTCCTCCGTGTCCACACCCACCCGTCCAGAATCAGTCCACCATCCCCCGTTATCCCTACTCCCTACTTCATCCTCCTCCTTGTCATCATCATCACCACCACCATCACAATCACCATCACCATCACCATCACCATAATCATAATCATCATCATCAGCATCATCATCATCATCATCATCATCATCATCATCATCATCAGCATCAGCATCAGCATCAGCATCATCATCAGCATTATCATCATCATAACCAGCAACATCATAATCATCATCAGCATCTTGACCATCATTACCATTATCGTCATCATCATCAGCATCACCATCGTAATCGTCATGGTCATCGTCATCGTCATCATCAACATCATCATCATCAGCAGCATGAGCATGATCATGAGCATCAGCATCAACATCAACATCATCATCATCATCATCATCATTATTATCAACATCATCATCATCATCATAAGCACCACCACCGTCATCAGCAGCCTCATCATCATCGCCATCATCATCACCAGCAACAACAGCAACATCATCATCAACATCATCAACATCACCGTCGTAATCATTAACAGCAAGATCATCACTATCAACACCATCAACGTCATCACCATCACCATCATAACTGTCGTCAACATGATCACCATCATCATTATCAGTATCATCATCAGCATCGTCGTCACCATCAACAAGAACCGTTTGCATCAGCATCCTCGTCCCCGTCGTCATCATCACCACCACCATCATCATCAGCAGCATCATCATCGCCATCGGCATCGCTATCGTCGTCGTCATCATCAGCATCATCGACATCACCATCAGCATCAACATCATGAGTTTCATCATCATCATCATCATCATCACCATCATCACCACCACCATCATCATCATCATCACCATCACCATCATCAACAACAACATCATCAACACCATCTGTTTTGAGTGGGAGGCAATGCAGGCCGGCCACTGAAGCGCACGTAAGCTTGTCCTTTCCCCATAGCGAGGATCCCTTAATGGTTACATTCAAGAACACCTAAACGTCGGACGCACACACACACACACGACAAAAAATCGTTTATGGATGGGATCCAGCAGACGGCCAATCCTCCTTCGCGGTCACCCGTGTAGAGATCCCGACCATTCAGGATACGGTCGCGGTAACGGTGCCGACCTGTGTCGGCAGGCACCTCCTCTCGCAATGGACCATCACATTCCCGCCGCAATTTCTGAACACGGGAACGGGCGAAAACCCCACCAACTCCACGCGCAACGCAGCCCACCATCTCCACGACATCGTGCCGTGCCCACACGGAAGAGGGTTTGGCTGGGAATTGGGGCTCCCATCCACGGGCGGCCTGCGAGGCCGAGTTCCGCGCAACGCTCGGCATGCCCTCGCCCCGAAGCAGGGCCTCGGACGTCAACCGCGCGCTTCCCTTGGAAATACGGTGAGGGCATTGGATAAGGAACCAATGAATAAGGAATCCATGGTCTCGAAGCCAGTGGAACTTCGATCGTGGTTTGGCCATGCATATCACCGCCACCCTTCTTAGATAAGGAAGCCCCAAGGGCCTGAAGCCTCATGGGCACATTCCTTGACCACCACCCCGACCGTGGCACCCCCGCAGCCAGGACAGGCTTCATGCCTAGCAATTAGCTCGAGCGAGTCTGGCGGCGAACTTGACAAGCCTCGTGCACCCGCAACACTGCCACTGGCCCCTAGCGTGAAGCTTAAACCTGTGGCCAATACCGCGATCACGAGAGTCGAAAGTGACTACGGTAAGTCAAATAGCATCCGATTCCATGGGAATCGGATGGCAAATAGCGTCCAATATCGTACTGAGGTTGTTCAGTAAGAGAAATGGACGGATCAGATGGGATAAGATCGATGTAGTGATCTTTCCATCAAATAGCGAACACAAGCAGTGTCCGGGCAAATAGGGCGCGCGTGCCTTGAGCCAAAGGCAACGGCGCGCGAGCTATACTCCCGATACTATATAACATCTCCCAAAGAGCTACCCTTAAAGTCGGGAGGGGAGGAGACGGAGAGTATAGCCGCGCAGCCGTTAGGCTCTACAAAGGCCGCGCGCGCAACTGTTTGCAAGAAAACGGTCGTACAGACTGGCCTAACACCAGACTGTAAGGCGAGTTTCCTCGCAAGGCATTTCACGCAAATACGAGACAGCCCCTTGAATGGTAAAGGGCTATCGGCCCGGCTAGAGGTAAGCCAAACGGGCCATACCCCACCGAGCAAGCGGGTATTAAGGCAAAGAGCCTGAATCGCATTGAACAGGCTCGTTACCAAGCGTGACATGTAAGGCTCGTTTCCGAGCACCTAGAAGGGCGCCTCTGTAGTAGGCGCCCATGCTGGCAAATTGGACCGCGGGGGGCAACAAGGACAGACTAAAATTGATTAGACTTAGGCTTGTTTCTGTCCTCGGGACCCCGAAAGGGAACAAACTGCTTCACGTCATACTTAAATGACTGTTTGCCTGACATCACTTCCAAAAGCAGCTCCCGATCGATGCTCCCCTTTGTATGCCCATATGCTGTCATATCTCTACTACCACACCACTGCACATTATGCACTATACCAATATCCATGAGCTCACGTATCCAGCTAATATGTCCAAGCAAGGTCCGTTCCGTCGGTATCTTGAGATCCTTGCTGGATAGCGATGTATAAACCGACTCTGCGTCTATGGTAAGGGATACTTTAATAGCTAGGCCCCCAACTTCACGCATATCTCGTAGTTGTCGTGGAGTCAGAGCCCCTGCCTTGAGCTCGTGGAGAGTGATGAGCGCAGGGTAACACTCATCGAGGTTGTGTGCAGCTGCAAGTGCCTCAGCGGCATAGCTGGACCTCACCTGCAGTCGGTGTGATTTGCATAGTCCGTCACAGAGGTGAACGACGGATTTGCCTTGAGGCGAGTTTCCTCGCCGTAGTACATTGGCCCCGCGTATGCCATAGCCCTTGGTCTCATCGCCCTCCTCCCCGGTGAGCTTACGATGCCCCGAATCACTGTGTATGTCAACTTCATCCGTCGGCTTCATGCGAGGGAAAGTGATGCGTTTCGGGCTGCTGATCAGCTTTCGCGTCACAGCGTTCAGTCGTCTGACTTGTAGGTTGGTGGGCTCTTGGATTTTCTGAAGAGAGACCACTTATACCATGAGCCAGACTTGAGTAAGAAGGGCATAGGCGAGGGCTCCTCGCAAGCTGACGAACATATCGGTGATGAGTTTGGTGGCTTTAGCATCGGCCGCCGCTCCTGTAAGTTCTGGGTGTGTGATAGGACGTAGTTGTTTGATATACTCGTCCTGATCCATGATCACATCCCCTTGGTCATTCTTAGTGTAGCGAACGGCGCAGTTCGTATACGAGTGTTTGTTAAGCTTGCATTTGCCAAACACCTTTTCGACATGTTGTACATAGTCGTCAATATTTTTCTCTAGGCCTGTCATATTAATGTCATCGACATGTTTTGCCGTTAACAAATCTTGGCTGAATTCAAATTCAGGATCATAACTTGTCGGTGCAAGGCCTATAGCTCGCGTGGTCGTACGAAACTTGAGAGAGAACGCTCTTGGGGCGTCCTTTGTGCCCGTTCCTGGCTTGAGGCACCTGAGGCAGCGTCGGCTTTCGTCATAGGATGAAAAGCCGGGCAGTGTACGAAGTACCTGGGCACTTCCCGGTGGAAGAGTGAAGCAAACCATGCGAGTTTCCTCGCCGGTGGCATGGGCAAGTTCCTCATAGGTCAAACCCTTGAGGAACGCTTTGTCGATGTCCCTGGATGCTAAGATCCACTCTGGATGGCACGCCGCCTCACTTGCTAGGAGTCTCTGGGACTGCCTACGAGCGGTTCCCGAGAAGGTTTCCACGTCGAAAGCCTCAGTGTCCATAAATCCACGAAGGACAAGTCTGAGACGAATGGTTTTAACGTTCTCGGTACCTACCTTCACAAACTTCCACTTATATACAGATCTGGATGTCATGATGTTGGAAGCTTTGGATAAATCATACATCTCAAAGCACCGGTTATCAAGCCAGATCTTGAGATCAGTGTACAAAACTTCCCTAACCTCTTTCGGGTGTGCTGCTATGTCGGCTTTGGTGAGTAGATCGTCTTCCTTGACTACCACGGCACGTTTAGCAGCAGAGGATACATGTACTCTCATCGTTGCGACCATATCAGTGTCGAGCTGTGCAAGTTGAGTCTGATCCAACACTACCTTTGACATTTCTGATGTAAAGCATAACTCAACATAGGGGCCATATTCATCACTGTCAAGAGAGTAGCCCTCGTCAGGTGTGGTTGAGCATAAAGAGACTAGACAGGGCTCTTGTGGTTCGGGCTCGTCTCCGAGCGTTTCCGACAATACGAGATCTTCTTCGTTCACAGATGCTGAAACCAAAACACATTGGTCAGGCAGCATAGTTGTTGGGACGCAGTAGAGATAATCGTCGGTAGTCGTCGTGGGATGAAGGTCCATACGTAACTCATCGTACCACACTTCCAGCATCATGGCTTCGATATTATGTTCCTCGTTATCTTCGTAGATTGTCGACAGACGGCCTTCACTTGGCGATGAAGCACCTGGGGTGTCTGGTGGAGGCCTGTTTCCAAGCGAGTCGCGTTCTCCAGACGTGGTGCCCGGGTGCTGATACTTGGCCAGGTCGTCGTGAAATCCTAAGGAAGGAACATGAGAAGTCAAGCATTGGATGAGTCTG